TTCCTATCTTACTTTTAAAATCATCTTTCAAAAGGATATAACCCAAATCCCATTATTTTGATTTTGTCTATTAAATTCTATATAATTCATAATTTATTGAAGCTCACATGACGATACCCTCCAACAGTGAAAATCGAAAACTCTCATTATCTTCAATGTCTCTCCCGCACATCTGTCAGAGCCTTCATTTTCCTTTGCATGGAATTATCAGAGTGTTTATCTCTCAAAGCGTGGCTAATCACGCCAAAAAATTAGTCAAACGACGCGCGCATGCGCATGTGAGAGGACCACAACTCTAAGTTAACCAGCTCAAAAACCAAATTGCGGAATTGTTTTCTTTCATTTTTCGTGTGAATGTAATGATTATAATAGTCTACTGTATGAATGCGGTTTTTGTGGTACTAAGGTGGCGACTTAAGAGATGGCAGGACGAATAACCCGCTCGTAACATGACTCTGTTGCGCGTTAACGTTATCGTCACAGTTGATTGAAAACCATTCCAGGCCCTCTTTGACAACGGGTAACAAGTTTTATGGGGGAAAATTTACAAGAAACTGCTTAGTTAGCCGCTGTTGCCTTTTTCATTAATTAGACAATTCGAAAACCAGACCCCATGGAACTTCCGTAAACTGTACAAAGATTGCAAGAAATTCATATCGTCTCTAAATATTGAAAAACATGTATACCTCAGGTGCATCAAATGGTGCAACAAGATTTGTTCACAAACTCGTAGTCATCAAATTGCACGTGTTTTCAGCTTATTAGCGTTTTCCCTACGTGACGTCATACATTTTACGGTTAAGTAATTCTGAACACTGATTTTAGTGCATAGTTACTAAAATTATTTCTCATCTGACCAATTTTCGTAATTTTTGGTCATGTTGTCAAAAAATTTTCGAATATTATGCTACCCTGCGTTTCTTTTTCCTTTCAGTATACAATATCCCAATCTTTTAGGAGACTCAAAAACCCTCGGAATCCACTTCTCACATACAATTATATCCTGTATATATAACATACATTTTCGGCTTGGTTGGCAATGAGTACTTCAAACTCATATATGCTGAGTTAACTTACTAGTGCCTTCTTTTCTTGACTGAATATGACAATTTAAACCAAAAGCCAAGCTTGTCTCAGAGAAAAAAAATTGACTATAAAAATTCATTCAAGAGCTTTCTCTAAGATTGGTCAAAGATAAAAAACTAACTGAACTCTTCGTTTTATTTTTCATTATCATTTCGTTTAATATGTCTAAGATATATATTCATTTATTAAATTTCATTTACAAATACCTTAAATATTGATCTAAAATTACAAGGACATGGAGAGCTCAAAAAATTTATACGTCTCAAACTGTACTGACTATTTTAAACTTAGATTTTAAAGTTAGTACATGTAAATCTTAGAAAATATTTTAAAGTATAAAAATGTTTTTGTGAACATCTTTAAATGAAACATTATTTTTCAGCCCTGTACAAAACTATAATAAAATACAAGAATGACATTCAACGAAAACATTGTGTAAAAACAAGTTGTGAATATCAATTCGCAAGTGAAGATATTGTATCTGAAAATGATCTTCATGAAGCATTAACATATGATTGTACAAAATGCACCTTCAACTTGCATGAAATATGAAGTCTCTACGTAAAGAAAAAAAATGCTGCCAGAGGAAATATTTACACGTACATGTAGGAAGAGTGTGAACCTCTGTCAATGTAACACAATCTGAATATATTGTATTCATGGAGAATTTGGCACTGTAAATTTTTCAACCTTATATAGAGAGAATATCATGTCTGTTGGTTTTCTGTTTCTTCCTCAGATGAAGAATCTTCTTGCTGCTGTTGTCTCTGTTTTTTTAAAAAAAAAACAAGAAAGTTTAAATTATGAACATTTTTGTTTATAATACTATGGAGGAAAGGAAGCATAGCGACATCTGTTTGACTACTTTGTTCATAAATCGTGTTTATATAATTAAGGTGCACTTCTACGTTTCATGTACTACTCATTTAAACCAACATTAATGTATACATGTGAAGTCACAAGCTCTGATCCTGTACATTGCAACTACATTTAGTTTGGCATGGGTGGTGTTAACAAGGATCAACTCATTTTGCGATTCATATCAAATTTTTTTTTCGTAGGTTAACTCACAAGTTTCAGGAGGTCTACAAGTTTGCTGGCATCTGTTCCTGTGGCCAAGTCTAGAATGTCTCTGGGAACCCCGAATGTTGAAAGAGGGTTAGGCTGAATACCCCCGGAGTTTTTGTACCTGAACACTGGATGCTAGAAATTAAAAGGAATTTCAGGGTTGTTAGCATGTTGACACCAATTCCCTGTAAGGAGCAAAAATGCTTGGTCACCCAGTACATGTGTACCATGGAATTTTATTTGATCACTATAATATCAAACAGTGTTCTGTATAGAGACTATTGGTTTGTAAATTTTAGACGGCATTTCCTTGGTTTCCATAGCAATGATTTTGAAATAATTTTCTATGATCGAAATGACCCGATTGTCATCACCATGCAAAATAATCCCATGCTTTCTAAATAAACGAGAGTTAAGAAAATAACATGGGTTAAAAGAGTACAGTTTTTCTTGTTTTCACATTGGTAGATGAATTTAAGACGAAAATCCATTATGGTAGGAAAAAAAATTATGAAAAAGTAAAACAAATTCATCAGAATTTTTTAAAGAGTGAAGATAAATCCCAAACGCAGATATCCTCATATTTTGTTTAAGCGATCTCTAGAACATTGGTACAAATGCCAAAATTAAATCCTCGCTAACGTTAGAATATATGCTTATATAACGATACTTAAAACACTCGGATATGTAAAATTTAGAGTGTATGATTATGATTATTAATTGTGTATTTTGTTTTACTTCCTTTTCTAGTCTTTTTTACTCACATAGCTACGTCACATATAACGTCGATGTATTTTTTCTCTAGCAGTGAAACATATGGAGATAAAGAACAGTATACAAGATCAAAAGTCCATAAAGCAATACAAAATAGGAGCATAAAAATAAGTGTCGATCAATTGCAATTGTTAACAATAGAAAAGACTCATGAATTTTAAGACGATAATAATTATGTACTATAACAAGGAAGTGATGCTTCCTAATATGGGAAGTAACGTCGTGTGAATTTATTTGTTAAAATGCACAAACCCACGACATTCTGTGTAAAATGATACATGTATATATAGAATAAAATCTATAGAAATTTCTTTATTTTCTTTTTTATTTCATAATTTCATTAAATCTAGCGTTTTTATTTATTCATTAGTTATTCATTTTTTGCTCATTTTAGACAATTATTAATCTATTTTTTTTTTACTTTGAAATGATTCTATTTATTTCTTAATTTATGTAGTCTTTTTCTTTCTTTCTTTAAGAATTAATTTTATACATGTATATTCATTTATTTATTGTAAAATAGAAATTTAAAATGATTTGAATCGCCATCCCTTTAAACTATTTTTTTAAAATGTGTTTTTTTAAAAGATATATAATAATCAAATGTTAAAAAGAGATGTTTAAGAAAACACGTGCAATTCTTTATCAAATGAAGTATATTAATGACAATATAGACAGATAATTTTCAATTTTCTTAGAAATTTTATTATAATAATGAATTCTAATAATGAATTTTAATAAGTGTCATGGTGTCTTCAGAACGTCACGTAATGACAACTTTTAAGCACTAAAGTTTTACATTTACTTAGAAAAGATAATTAATATCTTTTGGGGTCATCATTTGTAAAAGGTGTGGGTTTTTTTCTTAAGGAACATTTCCTTAAATTCATGTCATCTTATTCATTAGTGGTGGTGGAAAATTGCTATAAAAACAGAATCATTTTATTAAAAAATCACAAACTGAAGAAATTGTCTTCACGAGTAAGTACCTATGCTTTTTCCCCACCATTAAATAATATTTAAACCGATTTTTTTATTATATATATAAATGCTTATATTATATACGAGTAATTGAAAAAGTCAAGCACCCTATCAAATCTTTGATTACGAGAAGAAAATGTTTCAGAAATCAGTCTTTTTCTTTGCTTTATTTGATAAATTCATTACTGAAATTATGGTTTTTACCAGCAGTGACAGAGGGTTTTTAAAAGAAATAATTTTTTAATTAAAATCTATTTAATGGGACATGGACATAGTTTCAACTGAAGTTTTTAAACCAATTTTAATGCTTATCATTCCTAACCAAGGCATCATCTAATGATCAGCAGAAATGTGAACATCATTTATTGATTAACTAACAAGATACAGAACTTAAAGTTTTTCAAAATGTAAACAAGTCTCGTGCCTTGTTTTTTGTTTACATATAGAAAATATCATATTTATAACAAAACGACATTTGGCTAAAAACTAAAAATTATTTAACTGTATTAATAATTAACTTCTTTATTGATATTATCTGCTTTGAACGAACATACAGCTCAACGCACTTTTTAAACTCACATGGTTTTTCGCACAAATTAAGGTCACATTTTTATTATGCAAAATTGTGTAACGTGAAAAAAATATATGTTTTAAAAGTAATTAAGACTTCGTTTTGATCTTATTCTAATACTTTTAACATAATTCACACATAATATCGGTAGGATTTTTATATGCTCTTGGATGATAGATTGTGACAGTTCCCAAATGATTTTTTTCATAGTTTCTCGTAAATGCAGCCGTCTTTGCATCCGTTTTTGCATCCGTTCATTTTAAAGCATACCCTTGCCTTGCATAGACACAGAAACACTGCAGTTCATGTTACTTCTGTATTTTCCGTACCTTTATATGTCACTAAGGCGCAAGATGATATAATTATTTTTCATCTGTTCGACTGCTTTCCATGTTAAAAAGACGGCATTTTTCTTATTAACTTTCTGAAATCTAGCATCATCAAAGATACCTTTCAACGAAAACTTTCAAAGTTTCAGACCATAAATGTAAAAGAATTTTCTTTTCAATAGTTACAATTTACTATGTTGAAAGACAAACAATACTTTATTATTCTATCCTTTGACATGATTTCTTTATGCAGTTTTGTCATTTTTTAGAGATGCATTTCGACAAAACCAAGACAAATATGGAAAAAGTGCAATGTATTTAGTAAAATACTAATCTGTAAGACGTTAATTTGAGCATTTCAACTAAATAGTATCAAGAAAAGCTCGAATGATTAATTTGTGAATACCTATGGTAGAATCATACACATGTAACATCATGCATGTGTACAAACAAATTCCCTTTAAAATCATCGAGTTTTAAAACTTAAGATAATGATTTTAGAGAATATGCACCAGTATCATGAAATAATTAAGAGTGTTATGTCTAGTAGTGAAGCTCGATAATCTTACGTTTTATTGCAAGAAAAATGTGACCTTAATTTGTGCAAAAAAAAAAAAACATGTGAGTTTAAAAAGTACGTTGAGCTGTATATTAATCTATGTATACAAAATATGACACGGACCCTGTTTACAAAACAAAAGTTTAGAGCTCTAAATCTGTCTTGTATCTCGACAGCTGAAGTTCAAATTTTTGATGATCATTACAAAGACCTCAATTAAATATTTGTAAAAATGGGGAAAAAATTGAAAAGGTTTAGCTGAAACTGTGTCTATGCCCCTTTAAAGCTTCATCGTGATCATTTTGTCACTACCATTTTGTAAATACAGTGTATAAATGTAATCATAAATATTCTAATTATACATGTAACAGAACTATCCAGTGTGTAACAAAAAACATTCAATATTTATATATAAAAAAAACATCAATGCCGCATGGGGAAAAAATTTCAAAAGAAAAAACGAATCTCACAACTCTATCTTAAGTTCTAATAAATTCATAAAATTAATCTTAAAAATCATTTACTTTAATTTCTTTCTCCTCTCTGTTTCTAAGGTATCCGATATAATGGCAGCCATGTTGAACGCCCTACTGCTAGTTATTGTTCTGATACTTAGCATTTCACTTGCTACAGCAGATGACGAAATCGAAGTTCTTCCAGTGTGAGTAAAGATCAAACATGTTTTTTATATTTTGGTTCTCTTTGTAAAATAATTAAAGAGAAATTTAAAATCCTATTTTCCACCAAAGAAGCAGTATTTTCTTAATTTCTTTCTTCAAACTGAGTTTTTCTTTGATTACTCAGATTGTTTTGAGAGCGCGGATTTCCTCTCATATATAGAAAGTTTACCTGCATCGGAGAAAATGTTCTTTCATGAAAGTTCATAATTATTGAAATAAAAGGAAAAGCTAAAGTATCGGAGTACTAATAGGTTACCCTAACAAAAAAGAACTACAAAAATTTTTATAATTAATTAATATACCTCAAATGTTCCTCTATAAAAATAAATATATGCCATAAAACTATTTCCCTGAGAAGGTACTATTATATGCAATGACGTCTAAACATTTTGACTTGGGATGTCGAAATCAATTTGGAGTTATAGCAAAAAGAAGACTATGATAAATCTTTTAAAAATCTGTGATTTTTTAAAATTATTTTTGAAACTTGTTGTTATTGATTATTAAGTTTTATCTATAGTAGATCAAAAGTTTTTTTATTTAGTATATCAACGTCAATTTAGTATGAAATTGTGGGCAAATACAATTTATCATTAAGTCAAATGCTGAATGATGTTTGTTAGAGCTTAATTTACACATTTAATTGTTGATGAGTTTTTCTGTTAATTCCCGATCAAGACAAGTGGCGTATAATGGATTTGACCAGTTGTCAAAAATATATATATCAGTAGGTTTGTTATTTTAAAAAAAACCCTCTAATTCTTCAGGAAGGTTCTATACCAAACTTCCATAGTCCTTAAATTGTCAAAGTACATGTATTTACTATAGTTTACCATTGTAACTTTTTGGAGGGGTAGCAATGATAATGCACACATTGTCAAGTATACTACACTAAGAAGCATACATTTGTATATCGTTTTTTTTTTTTTTTATTTCAATGACTGGTGTTGCCATGGTTAATAAAAATAGAAATTTCTATGAAATATTTTCAAAATACATGTACATGTACTACTCTTCCTACAGTTTTCGTCTGATTTCAATGTAACTTGGCACACAAATAGACTTCACTATTACAGATACATAATTCTGTGTATCAATTTTTTTATTGGATAAATGGTGTTGCCATGTTTTCTAAAGCTAGAAATTTCTTTGAAATATTTTCAAAATGCTACTCAGACAGTTTTGGTCTGATTTCAATAAATTATGTCAAGAAAATGGCTAAAACCAATCACCATTTTTTTCATTTATTGCTGTTGCAAAGTTTCAAGTTCAAATGCTACTCTTCTCCTTCGTTATAAGTGGACACCAGTAGAGCTACAGTCTCGTCAGAGACTTCTGGTTTATGATCTTAATGTTCTTACTGAGATTCCAAAACGATAAAAATTGCTCATTTATATTTTTAAAAAATAAATTTTTGTCAATGTACACATGTATTTTGAAAAGAAATGCTACAATATCTCAATTTTTCTGTTCATATTAAGGCATTTCTTTTGCAAAGAACTATGACTCTTCATGGTAGGGTGCTTTACAGCTCATAAAATGAATTTTAAGAACTTAAAAAAGTAATAAAAAATTCTTAAGTTGAAATCAATTTAAAAGAACTCTTTTTATACCGTACTATCGATTTTCCGAGAGGGTTTCTTTTACTTTGTACAATGACATTAGATTTGCATCAAAACAAAATATACAAGAATTTGAAAACAACTTGGTAAAATGTATGCAGAAAGCTCTGGTCGAGAAGCAAAGACCATATACATGTATGTAATTTGTGATCTATTGGAGAAAATGTGGATTAATCATATCTACCGGTTTTATTGTCTTCTTTTTTTTCACTGGAGACAAGCAGCTGTGCCCTTATGTGCCCTTATGCCTCTGATATTCTAGACAAGTCCACATACATGTAATACAAATATCAGTACATGTACATTGTATATAAACAACGATTGTTTAATGAACATGACATTATGCACATGTATAGCATTGACAGCTCTGCTGGCATATTTCCCATTATGCCAGCAGAAGAATTGCTATTTATAACACCATGTTCATTGAATAATGCTGCTTATTTCTGAATAATTCACCTTATAAGGATAAATATTAAACAGTTATTGACTGGGTATGAGGGCAACATATGATTTGTTGGACCTGAAGGTGAAAATGTTGCCCGAGGCCGCAGGCCAAGGGCAACATTTTCAACTTCAGGTCCAACAAATCATATGTTGCCCGAATCCCAGTCTATTACTGTTTTGTTATATCCTTCACTGCTCACTTAAGAGTGATCGATTTAATCAATACACGCTATATTATCAATTATTTTGTATGGAAAATTATGGCTTCTTCAGTAAATATAACACATCAAGCTAAGAAAGAAAAAAATCAATTAAATATCTTTTGTATCACAAAAATTATTTATCACAAAATATACTCTTTCCTTCTTCCTTACCTAGCTGTTAGCAACAACTCTTGTAGCCCTTAACTTCGGCTATTTTCGCGTCGCCGATATTTCACGATGATTAATTAATTGTGACGTAACAGACGAGTGACGTTGCGGTCTAACAATTCTTATGTAAGACCGGTCAATAGTGAAATTGTTAGACCGACGTAATAAACAGTTCTTTTGTTGGACTTTTTAAAAGTAATAAATATATAGAATGATATTTATAAGGGTATAACAAATCTATATATTACAGCGATGAAGGCAACTGGGTCCTGAACACAAGTCTTTGGAACGTTTTGAGAGGTTCAGTGGTGGAATAGCACTCAGTGGAGGATTTACTGATTTGTCCAGGTAACAATTCACATGAGCCACAATACCGTTTCCATTTTATTTACTTGCAGTGAAAATTATAGCTATTATAATAATTATTATATGCATTTAATTTTTTTTATTTCAGATTCATCCATGAGGACTTCTTTTGATCGACATATCTAAATAATTTTTGTTATCAAATGTTTAAATAAATGGGCAAATTTTAACTTTTTATTTCTATTTCTTTTGTAATGTGTATTTGAAAGTCTGAATAGCATCAAGATAATTTCCTATTCAAAGAGCCATAGCTGTGTTACCGACGATATGGCTGACTCAAGTATTTAAATGGAAATCACCTGTTTCTATTTACAGATACAGTTAATTCTCGATAAACCGCCACCTTTTGTTATTTAGAAATCATGGCGGTATAACGAATTTGGCGATGAATTGAATTTCCCATCTTCTGGAAAACAAGAAGTAGAGTTACCGTTCTTAGAAATACCATTTAGCCTTTCTATTCTTATTATTACATGTACATGTTTATAAAAACATATTTCTGATAAAAAAAAAATAAATCAAGTTATTTTTTTAATGTAAAAATTCGCTATTTAAAACAAAATGTTCAGTTATGAAATAAAAGACAAGTACATGTGTGTGCATTTCAGGTATTCTATTGAAAAAAGTTGCCGATAATAAGTAAAATGAATTCTTGAATAAATTTATTGTTTACGGCAACATTGTTAATTAAACGTTCACATTTTATACCGTAGAATTATTTTTTTTTCAGCAAACTTTGCATTGTTTAAATCAGAGGTCATCTAAATAACATAGTTAAAGTTATCGGCGTACTTTAACAACGACCCCGCTTTCGTGGCGAAGCCGTGACTAAATGATTTTTATTAAACAGAAAACAAAATTATAATAACAGTTCATGTTAAAATTGTTGTTTATTTAGCTCTTGTTTAATTACTTTAAAATTGCATACATGTACCTTGTCTGTCTTTGCATACTTTACATCAGGGACAGTGTCAACCAATTAGCCGTGCTTCACTGACCACACGCACCTGTGGCGGTATATCGAGATACTTGACACTTAAAAATGGACGTTTGTTTTGAAAACAGGGTGGCGGATGGCGGTATGCGAATTTGGCGTTATAAAGAGAATTTTATATAGCAGGAAAAACGTTCTTGGGAAATCATGGCGGTATTGCGAAAATGGCGATGAATCGAATGGCGATAATTCGAGAATTGACTGTACATGCACCTTTTCAATTCAAGATCAACCTACATGTATGCAATCATATTAGGACCAGTGTTATATTTTCATAGTTGCAAGTTTGTTATATGACAATCATTTTACTTGTTCAATACTCTTATTCGAAACAAGATTTTTAGAAAATTTTAAAAATAAAACAAGATAGCAGCTACGACTTCGGGTCATTAAAATAGTTTTGGACTGTTTTTTCCCAAGATACTTTCAAAGTGTAATGTTGTATTATATATCTCTTACATCATTTATACATGTATTACAAAATAATAAAAAGAAAACATAGGAAAAATGCACAGAGAAAAAAAAATAAAAGCATAAAAACACACCCAGTGAGACTCGAACTCATGATCATTATATCTACAATCCCGCAATCATACCACTATGCCACAAAGTCATTATAATTGCTGGGATAAATTTAAGACAGATTGTTGAATCTTAAAATAATTTTGAGAAGAAAAATTAAATACATATTTTCATCATTTTCAATATGAAGACCAACTTTAACCAAAATTACAGTATCTAAATGTAATGAAGTGCAGTCATATCCACATAAAATTACTCAGAAGTTGTTTTTCTGGTTAAGGGTAGTCTTTTCCTACAGTTTGTCATTGTCATTGGGGTACCTCAGTATTTACTATATTCTCCATATAAACTGACCGATTCTTATATGTATCATGTAAGGGAACTATTAATATTTGAATATTATATTTGTATGATTTGCTTGAGGGAATGTATAAACTTTTGTTGTATGACAAAATTTTGGTTAAACAATGTATTTCAAATATCACTACTTGAGTAGGCGAAAGTGACTATCAAATGCGCTATGGCTCTTTCTCGGACTCTATACCTGTAAACATTAATTATTACCTGTGTATCGTTGTCTGTGCCTTTGAGTTCTGAGTCACTATCCGTCAGCTCATCCCATGTAAACATTAATCCATCTGTCACTTCTCCAAAGGGATTGAAGTCTAACAAGAGTAGCTTCCCCTATAAACACAGTCTAGGGATAAAAATCTATAATACAAACTCCCCAACCACCAACTTATATCAATGGTGAATTAAATTAAGTGGATATTTATTAATTCAATAAGGAATATTTATGATTTTGTTTCATTCAGCTATTCAATAAATCAATGATTGTTCTAAATACTGCAAGTTTAAGTATTTTCTATTGATTTGATCTCTCGAAAAATTTTGGGAGTAGAAAAGTATGTTGCAGAACTGTTACACACATATAATGTATCATACAATAGGTATATATTCTTTCAGTTTGTTTATTCATACATGATTTAATTATGATTGTTATACACACCTGATCTCTTCTGTACACATCAAATACATCTGCAAAGAAAATCAACACAAAACATGTGTTATATCGGTTCTATGTACATTCATATTTCTGTTTCTGTATTAATTGTGTTGCATTAAAGCAGATCATGTGTTGCTTTAAAGCAGTTAATGCTTTTAGTTGCAAACAATTAGGAAAATGTATTTTTTATTATTTTTTTAAAAATTATATATGCATTTCTAACAAATGTTGTAAATACTTACAATTTTCATTAGGAAATTTCAAACTGACCAAGTGATAAAAGAATGACTGTATGTCTGATAAAATATCCTCTTTTTCCTGTCTGAAGAATTCATAATAAGCAGTGTGGTTTCTTTGACATATGGCTGAAAATGTACAGGCGAAATATTAACAGCAAATTCATGAATTTAAAGCCGCTTTAAAGGAAAAATAAATAAATACATAGTCAATAACTTATTGGCTTTATTATCATATTTCAGCTTGTTCATTATTTTTTCGGAGAGTTAAAATATATTTGAAGAATAACATTTCTATCACTCTTTATGTTTTAAGACGAAAGAAATTATAGAAAAAAAAATCATGTAAAATTCTTACCTATTAGCTTGTTATTCCGTACAAAACACCTGAATTCATATCCTGGGTTTAGGTCCTGCCATTTCCTTAATATTAAGCTGTATCCTACATTAGCTTGATCACCATTCTCATCAAAGTCTTCACAATGTATGAACCTTGCAATGTCAAAAAAGAAAAAAATACTAACTATGCATGAAATGCAGTCACTTAATATACACGTACAACATGCTGTTGCTAACAACGTGTTGCAATAATGATTTTTTTTTTCTTTGAAATATAAGATTGAACAAATTAGAGAGGATTACATCATAGCAGCTTGCTTACAAAATATTTAAAGCTTCAGCAATTCAATTTCCTAAAACCTAAGTACAATTTTGTCAGTGATCAAAGGGGAATAACTCTGATATCATAATTTGCCAAAGACTGCCACTAAGAAGCACACACTCAGTGCTTGTCTTACCTGCTTAATAATTAAGTTCATAAATCTGGGGCAAAAAATAACTATTCTAAAATTTGATGTACTTAAAAAAAAACAGCTTCAAAAAATTAAAAAAAACTTTTAAGATTAAGCAGTTTGTGGCCTCTATCCCCTCACTTAACAGATACAAGTATGAAATAGGTACACTTTACATCAAGAGCATTTAACTTACGGTTGAGTGAGGTCATGGGTTATGAACTCTGAACTCTTCAGTAGTAAATACACATCACTAGGACAAGTGCATTTTAGACTTTTGTCAAAGGCTATCCACGTTGCATCCTAAGAAAATTCAGCAAAATGTGTTCCATCAGAGATCATTAATTCATGTGAAAAATATTTTTAAAAATGATGTCCTGGTAGGGATTTATCCACAGTCCAAATCAACTAAAAAAATTAGACAGTTAATTATTTTGTCACTTGTGAACATACTGAATGTTAACAAGATCGAAGTACAATATTATATACAGTTATATTAAACAACAGAATGAATTGACATGTACACTGTATTACCTTGGGAGAACTCCAGTTAAGTTTTGGGAACACTTTACCACCAAGCATTTTAATGGCCTTCTTTATGGCTGCATCAAAAGCTGGAAAACTTGGTGCCTGCATTAAAAAAAAGAGAAAATTTTTAAAAGAGAAAACTAAGTGAATCGATTCATAATACAGACTGGGTAAGATAAATAAAGAATATCTCATTGATGAGTACATGTTTATTCATAAAAAGAATGACTTAAAAATTAAGTTTCTTCAATTATAATTCCCCATTTTTATATTAAATAATTATATACTGTAAAAGCACAAATATTCGTGGGGGATTAAATTTCGTTTATTTCGTTGTTAACAAAATTCAACGAAATTAAATCCCACACGAAATTTTATTTGACTATATATTGGATAGGGTTAATTTTTAAACAACAAAATTGTGTTTGATGGCAGAACAACGAATAATGTCTACGAAAATTTATGCTTCTACAGTAATTTTAATTTTCTTAATTTACTTAGCCAAGTAGATTTACAAGTACAATGCTTTTCTCTTAACTAACAAGAACTGTATATTTATTTACAATATGTTTATCACAGAATTAGTAGTTATAACAATCATTATTATAACAATAATATAACAACAATAATCTGTACTGTATTTCTTTTGAGAATATACAAATATTTTTTCTACCAGTATATACTTACAGGTGCCTCTACTGAATCATCATCCCAGTTCACATCTAACTGCAATGTAAACATGTTACATGTAATCTTCTAAAAAATAATTACATTGCACATCAGATATTTTGAATATTCATGTATGCAGTAAAAACTTGTTAATATTGACATTTTATTCACAAGCAAAATCTCATTATTTATTAAATCATGGTTTCTGTTCTAAAATGTGATAAAAACAATTATCTTTTATGCTTGATAATAATAAAGGTATTTCTGTTTCCAATCAAATATAAAGAATGCACATTTACAGAGCTCAAGAAATTGCTTTTGATTGTAGGCATAAAAATGTTGTAAGGTAGATGACTCTTACTTATATCTTTGCATTACCCCCTAGATACATAAACATGATAAAAAGCTGTTGTTTTCAATTGTTTAAAATTCAAGTTTTACCTCTTCTCCAACCCTGTCTTCATCTGAGTCCCTGTCTCCTGAAGTTATCAGACTCCTTAACATAGAAAAAAGCAACTCTGAATTCAATATACATGTATTTATATCACATAACAAACAAACAAGTTCCAGAACTTATAGTCTACATCTATTTCAAATTAAAAAGTATGAGATCAGTTGTAAGAGGCTATAGGGACTGAGATCTCTTTTGACCTTACAACAATTAAATTTTGATTTTTTTTAATTCTAAAGCATCATTTTTTGTCAATTGATGAGGTCATTTAGCCAGTTGCTAGTTCGTAGGAAAAACACTGCAGTTAGAGTATTCTCTCCGTTAGAACTGTATAATTTAAAATGCTAATGAAAAAATATTCATCTGCTCCGCATGTCTAAGGTTATAATAATTCTTAAACTAATACAGTAAAACTTGTTTAGTATGAACACGGATATTGAGAATTCGCTGATATAGCAAAGTTTTGTTGGATCCCCAGCTATATAAATTTAACGAATTCCTTATATGGATTTAACAAATTATGGATCAGTGTTTTCCCTTTATTTCACAGTAAAAGGTTAGAGATCAGTTGTACCAGACTAGGGGCTGAGGTTTATGAAAAAAAAATCTCTGTGGACCTTGTAACAAATTTTTCCTTCAAACATGTCAAAGCGGCGTATTTGTCAATTGAAGCGGTCAATTTGGCCAGTTGCCGGTTCTTAGGGAAAACACTGTGGATATAGCGAAGTAACTTCATAGGTCCCAGTGACTTCTTTATAACAGAGTTTTACTGTGTATAATTACACATGTATCTAAGACCATCCAGGCTGTCTTTATAATGACACACAGTACATGTACCCACCCTTCTGGCAACACAACTCCATCTGTGTGTAAGTATTCCAAAAATTCTGCAGGTAGTGGTATCACAATACTGTAAATATAGAACTTCAACATGATTATACATTGTATGATATATATATATATATAAATTCAAGGATATTCAATGTCATGTATTAGAATTCTGAAAAATCTTCACAAATCAGAAATGTTGCCAATCATTATTTATTTGTCCTGCAGAAAAAAAGAAGCTTCACAGAAATGAATAAAGGGCTAATTATTACGGTCATACGCAATATAGTTTGAACTTTATTTGCCTCTTCCCCGGAGTTGGAAGATATCGAGTTCAACTAAATGAAGGACATGTGTCCATTATTTTTAATGTCTATATATGGATTTGTACACCTCTTCTAAAACTGTTTTTCGTGAAAAAAATCTGGAATCTAAGCTTTGTAATTTTTGTACATTTTGCTTTGAATAATGCAAAAATTAAAAAAAAAATATTTTCAAAACCC